ATAGTTTCGGGTTTGAACAGGAAGAACAACACGACAATATAAGTTAATACCTTTATTCAAAAACCATAAAACTAAAACCAATATACAATTATAACTTTGAAGCTGCTTATGCTGCTATCAAAACGTGTTTACGTCTGCCCGACAATCTATCCGAACAATCTTCAAAGATTTTCTGGAGGTTCTAGTCGAACCGAAAAATGAGCGACAGCAATGCAAAACACTGTGAAAAAACCGATGAGTGAGATGTGGGTGCATTTCGACTGCGCGGGTGTTACGGACTCCATCGCCGACCCGGATCGCACTTGGAAGTTTGATCGATGCCGATCGCTGGAAGATGATTTGATTTCCCATTCGAGGACGTCCTTCGGTCGCTCGTCTACCAGTAAACGCTCGACCCGAGTAGAGATTGGCATGCAGATGATGGAAGAGCAGAAAGCCTTGTGGATGAGGAGAATTCTGGAGGAACAGGCGTCTCCAGCAGTAGCGTGAACAAAGCTAGCCGAAGAGGAGGAACGGTTTTTGAAGCAGAAGTACGATCTGCTCATGACCAAAGCGGATGATGCGGAAGAAGGAGCCAGTAGGAAATCAAGACTGACCAGTCGAGCTAGTCGAGAGAAGGTTCGGTCGTGGCTTAGTGGATAGGAAGTCGGCGCAGCACAACGAGTGACAGTAGTGTAGTCGGCTTTGACGTAGGTTTCGTCGTCCATTACCACGCAGTCAAACTTCGTCAGCATCGTTGTGTACAGCCTCCGGGATCGCGCTTTGGCCGTCGTATTTTGTTTATCATCGCGATTTGGAGTCACTACCTTCTTGTAAGTCGATAGTCCGGCTCGTTTTTTGGCTCGATGCACGGTTGTAGACGATACACCCAGCTTATTTGCGGCATCTCGGAGAGAGAGGTTAGGGTTTCGCTTGAAACTACCGGCAACTCTCTTTGTCGTCTCAGCGGCTTCCGGTTTTCGATTTCCCCCCGATCCAGACTTCCTGGCTGTCGACAAACGTTCCCCAAACACTTTAATTACATTTGTAACGGTTGATTTGGCAACTTTTAGCGATTTTGCCAACTTTGCGTGCGAGTAGCTCGGATTTTCGCGATGCGCGAGCAAAATTTTGATACGCTGCTCTTCTTGCTTGGACGGCATTTTGACAACTGAAGAGTGAATTCCAAAATCAAAATAGGAGCAACATTCTACACACACACACCTTCAAAATGAGGGGTGTTCAGGTTTTTTAAATGCAAAATTGAAAGAAATACGTCAAGTTGATATTGACCAAATTTTGACCGTATCACCCTTTATGTAATCCTAATGCACGGCAAAATAGTTTTTACAAATGCATTCATGAGAGAAATCATCCACCATAATCATAATGATCTGTACGGACTACAGTGAAATTTGGCTGACAAACATAAAATTGACGTAACATTTGGGAACTTCCTAGATGTCAAGAGACATTCACTTGATTTCAGAGAACTTCATAGAAGTGCGTGGAGCTTCGCATAACTACAGGGACCATCATAGATCTTCAGGATACTTCGTAGAATGTTAAACAACTTCTTGGACGATGATTACGGAACATCGCATGAATTATGTGAAAGTTCAGCAAGCTGGGCAGAAATTAAGTTGTACCTATCGAAAAATTAAAAGAGACGGAATATCCCAGGATTTCGTCGAATATTCTACATACTCAGAGAACTTTGTATAAGCTTTGAGTTCATGGAACTGAGCGTAAGTTCAAGAAACTTCTTGAAAGTACAGGAATCTTCGTATAACTGATATTCACGGATTTGCAATGATATCTCTCAATATTATTCAAGACTTTTCAACTTAATCAAGTAATGCTCTGAAGATCTGCAACTGTTCAAAAATTCAAACGGCATCTTTTAGACATCCTTCCAAGATGGAAGTTTGATTAGAGAGTATTTAAAGGATATGCAGTTGGTCCGAGATTTAAAGACCTCTGGATATTTTTCAAGACTTCAGGTTGATCAATTATTATTCTTAAGATATTCAACTGATCATAAAATTCAAATAACGTCTCTAGATAGTCTCTCAAGATTGCTGGTTGTTCAGATGATTCCAATGAAATCTGAAGATTTTAAACTAGTCAAATATTTAATTGGCTCTCTCAAAATTGCAGATCGATTAGGAATTACTTAAAGATCTCCAGCTGATCAACGATCACAATAAAGTCCTCTGGATTTTTTTCAAGGCTTCAGGTTGATCAAGTATTAATGTGAAGATACTCTCCCAAAACTGTAGGTTGATCAGGAAGTGTTCAAAAGATCTCAATTGGATCAAGATTTTATTCTGAAATATCCGATTCAACATATTCAGGAAGAAGCTTAAAATATGAAGTCAAAAACTTCATTTATTTAACAAAAATCTTCATATGCCAGAATAAAATTAAAAAAAAAATCCTTCTGAAGCCTGCTTCAGCTTCCGCATGTCTTGAAACAACTTCAAAAATCATGAGATGTCTTCAAAATGTCTGCATGAAAAAAATACCTTCACAGAATTTTAAATGTCTTCAAAATGAAGATACATATGTCAGTTAATCTTTTGTCCCTAGTATTGAAGGAATCTCCATTTTTTCATCTTTCTTCGAAGGAGATGAAACATACCGATATTAAAACAATTTACTATCTTTGTTCTAACCACCGGGAAATGGAAGCTCTAATCTGCAGGATTTACTAGAAATTATTCGCAGAAATTTCATGGAATCATCCCCAGAAATATTTTCTTTTAGAACTGTCCTCAGAATTCAATACCCTTGAGGTTCTTCTCGGAAGTCAAGTTTAAGTTGTCCGTCCATTCACCAAAACGTTATAGTTTTCTACCAGATATGTTCAATAAAGCTTGCCCTTTAATGCATCAGAATTTTCAATTCAGCTTACCCCTCCATGCAGCAGATTGTTGCAAATCTTACACCGGAAATTTTCAATACAAACTTGCCCATACAAACTTGCCCCCATAAAATTTCAACTGACTAGAACGATGCAAAATTGCTTCTCTTCTGATTAGTGCAGATTTCCTTTTTCCATTTTCCACCAGACATTTTCAATATAGCTTTCTTCTCCTATCATCAGAATGTTGCAGTTTTTCCACCAAATAAAGCTTGCCCCATATTTTCATATTTTGAGAATGTTCAGTAAATCAGCTACCCTCCAATCAAATTTAATGGTGCAAATTTTACACCAGAAATTATTACTAAAGTTTGTATCTCTGTTCAGCAGAAGGATGCAAATGTAAGCCAAATTTTTCAGAAAAGCTTGCCCATCCGTTCACCAGAACGGTGCAGATTTTCCACCAGAAATTTTCAATATAGTTAAATTTTTAATAAAGCTTGTGCCTTCATTTACCAGTGCAAGTTTTCCACCATAAATCTTCTGTTCATTTCATTTATCATGGCGATGCAAATTATGCCCCAGAAATTTTCAATAAAACATGTTCCTCCATTCACCAGAACGGTGCACCAAAAATTGTCAGTGAAGTTTGTTTCACCATGCACCTTTGTGGTGCAGTTTTCAAGCTTTGCCTCTTCATGCAAATTTTCCACCATAAATTTTCAATGAAGCTTGCATTCATCAGAACGATGCAAATTATGCACCAGTGAAATGAATAAACCTTGCTTCTACATTCACCACCATTCACCAGAAATTTTCAGTTAAATTTGCACCTCCAAATTTTTAGCGTGATTCAATTTTTCCACCAGAGTTATTCATTTTGACAAGTCCCTCCATGCACCACCTTGATGATATATTTACACCAGAAATATTCAATAACAAGCTTTTACCAGCGATTTACACCACGAAGGTGAATTTTATCAATCTTAAATTTACCCTCTTCTTTTAGCCCTCCTTGAAAAAAAAAACACCATAAATGTTTTGTATGCACCACTGTGGTGCAATATTTTGACCAAAAAATTTCATTGAAGTTTGTCCCTTCATGCACCTTTGTAAAGTAATTTTCAGCCACCATCTCAAAGGAATTGACGCAGTAAAAGGTTTTCAGTGCCCTTATATTATGAAATTGCCCCACCTTACCCCACCCTGTGCACGCCAGTGCTTGCCCGTTTCTATTTAGGTGCAACCGGAAGAAAAACAAGCATATAAGTGAATACTCTCCGGTAAAGTAAGGAGGAACGGGTGGGGGCGATGGTTCTGGTTGATATTCCCAGCTGTATTTGGACGGAATTTAATTCGCAATATTCGCGCACAGAAAATCCATCAGCCAGTGGGTGTCTTCCTTCTCCAAACTCTTGACCAGCCAAGCCACGGGTACAACTGGCCGAATGAATTCCTTTTCCACCTGCTCGACGTAGGGTGTTTGCTAATATACACCGACACCTGATTGCTCTCCTTCGTCGGATTCAATCGGTTTGAGTCCGGAAAGTGGATGTGCGTTGCCGTCTCCTCCATGATGCGCTTGATGTTTTTGTCCCCGCGACCGATCACGAACGAGTGGTCTAACGTCAATTTTAATGAGACCGTTGAAAACTGTTAGTGAGTATGGCAGAGTGCTCATAATTATAGTCGCTATATTCATAGTCTGGCGGATAGAATCTCGGGAACCAATTGAGCTGTCAAATAGCGGAACCAATCGAGCAAATCACGACCAATAACAGAAAAAGAGCACATCAGCTATTGCGAACAAAAATTCGGAAACTCTTGTCTCGTGACTCAAGGCTCGCCTACGCAAACTAACACCATCACCAGCGACTATACTCATAATGTGTCATTTCAAAAAACCGATTTTGTTCTGAAATTCCCATCCATTCACAAGCTCACGACGAGAATCAATGCCAAACCAAATGCGTGAAAAGCAGGCCTTGCTGAAGGAAACCTGTTTGGCGTGTGTATCTAAAATTCCCCGCCCATAAAATATGGGCAGGCCAGCGCACAGAAAAATCGGCAAAATGATTTCGCTGATGGTACCGTGCTCCGCAGTTCATCGTCGACATTCCTTCACGGGAGAAGTGCTTCTAAACTCCAAGAGACCATGGCTCTAGCCACCGATGGACAGTTTTCAATCTACACCCAAAAACACACCAACAACAAAGACAAAGTGTTCAAAACCAAACTGGTCCTGCTCGGAGAACTGGCAGTCGGAAAGTCGTCCCTGGTGTCCCGATTTGTAAACCATCAGTTCTGCCAGCATCAACAGAGTACCATCAGTTCGGCCTTCTTCCGGCGATCGATCGGCCTCGAGGGTGCGATCGTTGAGTTTGAAATTTGGGATACGGCCGGAAGCGAGCGATTCCACAGCATGGCCCCCCAGTACTACCGCAGGGCTCAAGCAGCCGTTGTCGTGTATGACATTCACCTGGAGTACACGTTTACCAGGGCCAAGCGATGGGTCGACGAGTTACGGGAGAAGCTGCCGGGGAAGATTCTCATCGCACTGGTCGGCAACAAGCTGGATCTGGAGGAAAACAGGGAAGTTGGATTCGGAGAGGCCAAGTCCTATGCCGTTCGCAACGGGTTGCTGTTCAAGGAGACGTCTGCCAAGACGGGGTTTAACGTTTATGAGCTGTTTGTGGAGATTGCGGAAATGTTACCCAAGAATGACGATTGTGTGCCGGTGCAGGGCATTCGGTTGGATGAAAGCGTTAGGAAAACTAAGAGGAAGCTATGCTGTGCCTAAGTATTAGAGTGGGGTGAGTTAGAGTGAAGACGAGATGAAGACCGGTTTTTATCAATTTAGAGAGGGTTTTTGCGTCGTTCAGTTATAGCTATTGAAATAATGCGCTTATGTTTATATTTATTCTGATTGTGAGTCGAATCGGATGCCCAATTTATGTAAGTTGATTAAAATTGAGTTTTGATTTTTCAAATGAGCTTCTAGAAGGGGTATCAAATGATATACACCGTGTCCCATATATTCTCATACAAATTCAAACTGCATTTTTGTTTTCGCATCAGTAATTAAGATTTTATTTATAATATTGATCAATTGCAGCATAGCATATGTTTTGGAATTACCATGCCTTCAACCTGTTTGATCAGATTCAGACCAGAGTGGATGTTATAATATGAGATTTATTTTTCGTCAGAGTAAGTGGCAACCAGATTTTTTGCATTAGCATCGGATGACTTTCATTCAGAAGTGAAAAATTTCATGTCGATAACGGAGCTCCTGGGAGACAGTGACAATTATAGAACCTGAAAATTTTTCAAACAAGTGTGTGCTAACTATAGCAGTAAGTTAGTAGTAGGCTACGACTTTAGATACGTAAGGTCGAGTAGAATAAATTGTGTATCTGGAAGAGTAAAACGTGTTTATTTACTGCTCTGTAAATCCGATTCCGTGAAGTGGATTAAGAAGTTGGTTCCTGTTCCGGAGGACCACATCTGGCGACGAGGATGGGATACCGGTATGTGAAGGATGTCAACTAGTTGGACTTCCGAGCCGACCAGTCCCAATGAGTCGCAGGCAATTATCAACAAAGGCGTGGGTTGATATTGCCATTAACTTCATGGGGAAAAATAGGGGAAGTTATGACTCGAATAACGGCTCATAAAACTGTTGAACGCTTAAGTAATTTTTTTTACCCATTTAAGGTATCCTAGAACTATCACACTCGACAACGCCAAGCAGTTCATTGGAAGGGAAATTGAAAATTACAGCTAATTTCACGGCATCGTTCTCAATCATTCTGCACCATACTGGCCACAGGAGCGCCAAAATAGATCACTCTTGAAGAGGTTGCAAATTAGCCACGGGCTCGGCAGAGACTGAGAGAGTGATTTAAAAGATTACTTGATTATGTACTATACGACTCCGCATTCTGCAACTGGGAAGACGCCAACGGAGTTATTCTGCGGAAGGACATTAGGTCCAAGCTACCAGCTGTTGACGATATTGAAACCGTACCTCCAACCTCTGATTATCGTGATCTAAACAAACAAAAAGGGAAAGAAAGAGAGGACATCAGACGGCATGCGAAGGAGTCAAACATTGCGCAAGGCGATACAGTACTCATGGAAAATCTCACTCCAGGGAATAAGCTATCGACGACTTTCAAGAGAACAAAATACACTGTTACAAATCGATCGGGACCCAGGAGCTACAATAGAAGATCAAGATTCCGGAAAAACTTACGAAAGGAACGTGACTCATCTGAAGAAGGTACGAAATGAGGTGACATCATCACTGCAGGAAACATTGAACAACTGTGAAGCTTTAAAAGAAGATTTTGCAGGACTTACAGCTGAGGAGTGTGAAGTGCCCATGCCTGGTATTAAGATTTGAGTCATTACAAATTGGACTCAACGTCTTGGTATAACTAAAATAACTAAAATTTGGCCAGTAATGAGTGCAATACTTGTAGTTCACTGGCTGTGGGAACAATAATGTTTATTTAAATTCCCTTTTTGGTACCCCGCTTGACAGTTCGATTGGTACTTCTGGCTCCACTCTTGGCGGGACTCTTATTATAACATTGACTCAAATGCGCGACACAGTTGTTAGTGTCAAGGATTGCCAATGCGGTCGTCTCGAGTTCGATTCCAGATTTCCGGTGCAGGGTAAATAATTTGGTGGTGTTGCTTGTAACTAATTTGGATTAATTTGATTTACAGCAAAATATAAACTCAATAAATTCCTCCATAAAAAAGCGTAATATATATCGCAGACAATATTTAACCCGGCTTCAAGAGAAAGCTGTGTAGTGATTATTGGATAACCGGGAAAAGGTTGAATAAGCGCCTTTCAAGTTGACACACAACTAAACAGCAGGATAACAGCTGTACAGAAGCGTTAATGGATATGCAATGAGAGCTTGTCCCAACCATCACAACAGCCATAAGTAGCTGACTAAGTTCGCCAGATTTGCTTGTATAGAGGTTGAGTAAAGGTTTTCTCATTTCGTACAACGTTTGAATACAGCTTGAGGCTGTATAAATGAAATGAGTAAAGCGTTTACGTTGTGAAAATTTTGAGTTGGGTAACTCTTGTCCTAGCCCTATATGGCATATGGTTATAGCGCCATTAATCGCTTTCTGAAAAGAGAAAAATTGAAGGGAAGGAGAGGAAAAGGACTTGGAAAAAGGAAATGTGGAATTCCTTTCCTTATTAGTATTGGTATTGTCAAGTTTAAAAAAAAACCATATAATTCATTTTGCCTTGGTCAGAGGTATTATTACGACATTTGAATAAGATTGTCTTATCATTTGTTCAGGCTATCATAACAAGCTATGACCGACGTGACGATTGTTTAAGCCCTGGTTAAACAAGTTGAATCACGTTCCCGAAAGCAGTCAACAATGTATCCCAATCTGGATCAATCGTGCGCCCTATTTTTCTAAACATTCTGACGCGTTCCGCCCAATATCTATCAATTACGATTTTCCACAATAGTAGCCTGGGATAAATCCTAATGTCTTACACCAATCCAAACGCTAGCAGGATGCTTGGTCAGATACACGTTCTTGTGCTCGTCGGCCACGTATTTTACCAGAAGAGAACTAATAAACCGGTCGGTTCTAGAATTTGATACGGGATCGACGGTAAACATGCTCTCGTCGGTGAACAGAATTACCGGATTTTTTCGCTTAAGGAAGTTCAAGATTTTCTTGCATCATTTGACTCGTAGCTCCCGGATGCCGTTAGTAGATGTGGGTTTTTTTTCCGTGCCCTCGACCCGCAATCTTTCTTTACGATCTTCCGTGCCGTAAAGTCACTGATCCCGTGTTCCTTTGCCATTTTCCTTATTAAAGGCACTGGATTCACCCGAATCTTCCTTTTGATAGCAGCGATAACCCTCGGAACCCGAGCTGACCTAGGACAACATGTGGCCACCTTCGCGGATAGTTGTCCTTTCTTTTTTCGGTCTAAAACCCTTTTGACGGTCCACCGGGACACTCCCACGGCGATTGAATCACGAATACGCTGCCATGGGACAAATCACGAATACGCTGCCACTTCGTCATGGTGTAACTGTCAAACTAAGTAAATCTCGCACAACACGAGAAAAGGGCCTATCATTGTTGATCGACTCTCGTCATCGATTTTCTCTTTCGCGAATAACCCGACTGCAAATGAATTGCCCATTCAGTGTGTTGTTTCAAGCGTAAGCTAACATCATCTTCTGTCGAACTGTGCTGCGAGCTTAGCGAGAAATTCGTTTATGTTGCCGTGGTAAACCCTGAGTACTGCGAACTCAGCCGATTTTATTTTTCAGAAAACATCTTGAAAATCTTCCGAAGTTTCAAATTGTTTTACTGAAACAGCTCACGAAATTGTATATACATGCTGTCAAATAAACTCTTGGCTCCTTCTCCTCTGCTCCAGAAATAACGTATACATGGTGATGGGAGTGCACCTGCCCACAAAGCTCACATGACTCTTATAAAGTTTGATTACATTCTTGTTTCAGCAACCCAGTTTTGGCATTATTAATATCAAATAAAAACACTTTTTCGAGCATCACGCTCGATGATTTTAATTATCCGCCTACTAAGGTTGATGTTTCGACAGTTTCATAATTATAATTCTTAATTTGTTTTCACTAGGTGGCAACACCTTTACTCGTGGTTTAAACAGTAACTACCTACGTGACTTCTGAGCTCTTTTGAATGTTTGGCTCCCGTTTGACAGTTTGACTCGGCTCCCAGATGACAAGCACTTCGAGTTAGTTCGCAGTACTCAGGGTAAACCGAAAAGAAAGTCGATGAAGAGAATCGATTAACAAGGTTAGGCCCTTTTCAAATGTTACGCGAGAAATCATTTTCATTTATGCACAGCCTACTACGGTATGAGCTATACGTTACGTGTAGAGTCGGTAGATACACCGACTCTAGTTACGTGCATGCAAAGAAAACCAAGGCATTGTATGCACAGGTGAAACGGGAACCTTATTTGTACGATGGTGCAAACATTATCACGCATACGGTAGTACAGGCTTAAAGCCTTTGGAAGATAATGATAACGCGTAGGCAGCTGGATCAGCAAATCAGACCAACGAATCAATGAATGTGTTTGCCGTCGAGTTATTAACGAAACAGAAAGTCGATGAAAAGAATCGATCAAAATCTGCTTCCAACTTTGGTTACAAGATTACAACTCTGGAGAGCATTTTGTGTAGTCGTTGGGGGCGTGTGGTTCTGAATATGGTGATAAATATGCAAAATGCTACGCAATTGCATCCTCCCTATTCGCACACGCCCGAAGATAGGAGGCGAATGCCACTTCGATTTGTTTCGTCTACTATCAACTCTCTGATGACAGTATTGGTGAATCAGTATATTCATGTACGTAATTGGTGGATTTGTAGTTATTTCAACGCTTTTGGACAATGCTTGACATTTACCACTTTTTCAACAGTCTTATTTAATGTTATCAATGCGTAGGAATATTTCTGATCGATTGGTGATAAAAATATTGGAATTGGTCCAGGGGCAGCTGAGTTATTAACGTTCAAAATCTTTCATAATTGCGTTACATATTCCATTTTCACGAAGTGTATCCCCATATAGAAATTACAGACGAAGTCCTACGTCAATCATGACGGGAGGACACAAAAATCGCGTCCGTTCACGAGCACAGCACACTTCGATCCGATGAAAAAAGTTATTTTGTGTGGCGGTAAACTCCAACCGGTATTATCCTCGGATTAAATTTCGATCCAGAGTGTAGGGTTGATT